TCCTCCTCCTCCTCCTCCTCCTCCTCCTCCTCCTCCTCCTCCTCCTCTTCCCCCCTCCTCCTCCTCTCTGAACTTTTATTTGTGGAGTCCTTGGTATGATCTGAACTTGTTTACTTGCAGACATATCGTTACCAAACTAGATAATATAATCAGTGAAGGAGATTCACTAGGAGGGAATGAGGTTTATTCTCATTTTACATACTCTTGGCTTCTCTATCAGTGTTAGTGGCAGTGGATGTTTTTTAAAAATATTTCTATCTCTTTTGCCTAGGCAGCTTCTACATATCTCTAACAAAGGTCATCCTTCTTACTCTCTACAGTTGGTTACAGGTAATCCTCAACTTATGACCACAATTGAGGCCAAAATATGTTGTTAACTGAAACATTTCTTGAATTTTCCCCCATTTTACAACTTTTCTTGCCACATTTCTTAAGTGAATCAATGCAGTTGTTCAATTAATAACATGGTTATTCATGGGGAATCTGATTTCCCCATTGACTTTGCTTGTCAGAAGGTCACAAAAGGGGAACCGTATGATTCCAGGGCATTGCAACTGTCATAAATGTGAGTCGGTTGTCAAGCATCCAAATGTAAATCCTGCGACCATGGGGATGCTACAATGGTTGTAAGTGTGGAAAACGGCCATAACTCACTTCTTTCAGGGATGTAACTTTCAACCGTTACTAAATTAACTGTTGTAAGTCGGGGACTACCTGTATTCTATGCAGATTTTACAGGAGGAGATGGCTAGTACCTGAGCACCATGTTGTAGACATTATTGCAAAATACCTATCCCCTACTCCACAACAGTAAGGATTGTTAGGAGACCTTTGGCTCCTGGATTTTGTTAAGCCTGCCATGGAAAGGACAGACATTGTTCCAGCTTATTCCGGGCCTTAAGCAACTTATGTGAGCTGCTCCAAGTATTACAGTGAACTCAGTAGTTTCACACATTTGTTTATACGTATAAAGCTGCAGGCATAGCCAACAGCAAGACAAATAACACCTATATTGATTTTAACCTTCCCATTTAAATAAAAGTTGTTGCTATTGGCTTGTAGTTGCCTGTTGCTGCCCCTTTTGTTGAACCGTTCATTAGGAGGTAGGTTTTGTCAGATTTTAGCCACTCTTCAATTTCACCTCCTTGCAGTTTGTTAAATTGCTTGGCAACTAGAGGGTGTAGACAGGGGTGGGATACAGCTGGTTCACACCGGTTCAAGTAAACTGGTTGTTAAATTATCCACCCCACAGCTGTCAAAGTGGATCCTG